CGTTCCCTCGGATTCCTCCTCGTCCCGAGTTTTTCGGGCCCCGGGAACGAGATCGGTCGTTGCACGCGACCATGTTTTTTTCCATACGATTCGCAGAAAGAATCCACGAACCCACCCCCACACAAACCGACGACTCTTCTCAAATTGTTTCATAAAAGAAAAGTAATGGTAGTAATGTTATCAGTAATCTTTATCAATAATACCAGTCGGTAAATTAAACGTGTCTCATACATGTTTTTCTCGTTACATTTTACTCGTGGCAAAAACTATTGGAAATTGCAAGAGAGAGACGAGTCTTGTTTTTCGATGAAATAGCAGGATGATTGGCAAAGGGATCGGTTTTGGAATCTAACACGCGTGGAGCGAACGGAGCTTCTTATTCGAAACGAGCACGGTTTCTTTTGAGAAGTGGCCGGCGTTATCGCGAGGGCATCCTGTCATTATTTTACGATTAGACCGAACGAACATGCATTAGAGGCCGGGTTGACACAAAAACCACTGATTTGTCGAGCTGGATGAAAGCGATGGCCAAGATGAATCGATGGGTGGAGGAACGAAAAAAAAAAAAACAGAGGAGAAGAAGCTTGGGTATTAACGATCCCCGGTTGAAGATCGCTTACGGAAGCTGGAATAAATCATATTATCAACATGATGTCTTTGCGTTACGTCTCAATCTATGACCGCGAGAGATCCATCATCATCCCGGACGCTTTAAACTAACTATGTACCCAACGCAATAAGAGATCCGTCAAACTTTTTCCCCCTGAATTAATATCATGCCCAAAGCTACGAACAACTATCAGGCGCGAATTCTCGTATCTCTCTCAATTTGAGATTTTCCCTTGCTTGTTAATTTTCCATAAATTCACGAATCCTCGAGACGGACTGACATTAAACCTTTCGCTTCGTATCCAATAGAAAATCTTTACAATGCGTGGTATCTTGTAATGGAAGCGAACGGCAGTGAACGAAACGAGAAAGCGAAGTGTACACTCGCAGCGCATTATCATATATTATTGATTATTACAGTTCTTTGACAAAACGCGGATTGAGATTGGAATACGAGCCGGCGGCGGCTTTCATCGTCGCGGATGACTTTATCTGAGGAGGGCAGCCATCGACCGATCGACCGGATGTCGCGAACCGGTCATTACTCACGCGTTATTTCCACGTAATCTGTTTCCGAGTGGATCTCTAACAATTTTCCGCGAACGCGAATCAAGAAGGATCGCCAGCGATTTAGAGCAACGCTTCGTGCAGCGACGGCAGACGGCTTCTACTGATCATCTCGTCACCAATAAAGATACCTTAACAATACGATGCACGCGAAACTTCTCTTTGTCTCGTGTATTAATAATCAGAATATGTCGTAAAATATAAAACGTAATTTAAAGGGTGATAAGTTCTCTCACTTGGGTGTATGAACGAGATCATTAAATTGAATCAAGTCCAATATACAGAAGTCTTGAGCTTCTGAGAAATGTTACATTCACAGTTCAGAATGCTGAACACTGAGAATCAAGATATAAAAATCTGATACAGGATTCTGATTAATTTTAAAAAATTCAACCTGTCCATTCTAGATTGATATTAAAATGAAACGAAGGTGTGTACAAGATCTTAGTATCGATATACTTACAAGATAAAATACGGAAACTGATAAGATAATTTTTGATTTCATGCCTTGTACTGTTACAAACGGCCGGGAGCGTCGAACGTTTCTTAGCTGCTTTCTCTTTATCTGGATTTTATTCCCGCGAGCGGAATATTAATTAGCCGCTGTCGGTGATCAACGGATCGACGCTCCTCGCGTTAATTTCCTATAATGTATTTGTTGTAATTAGCCGCCGCTCGGGGCGTCGCTAATAAAGAGGAAATTATTGGATTCCATCGCGGAGCATCGGTCCCCGATTCAGATAAACGCTCCCTGTTCCCCGTCTCGATTTCCCCCCACGCCCACTTCATTAAACGGGAGAGCGTCTCGATTTCGCACAAACCAATTTTCTCAAAATAAGATCGAGATCGACTATTCTAATACGCTCAAACAATGATTTCTACGTTGATTATCTTCATGTCTTTAATAGGATTACAAATACAAGAAACAGACTGATAGAACAAAATTAACAAATATTCCAATAATAGAAAATTAATAATTTATTATTTTTAAGTATTTTTCTTAACCGATAATGATACAGTCATTGAAGAAGAAAATATTCCAATGGAATATGTAATACGGCGATAAACGGCGGAAATGGAATATTGATAAATATAAAAACGAGCTTAGTATCCTCGGTGGCAAAGATGGTTTCGCATTATAGGAACTATAAATCTGGAATTGCGAAGGCTGAAGATTTCTTTGAATGGAACGATCGGACACTTAATGTCAACGGAGTAATAAAACTTCTAAAAATACGATCTAACGTCGGCTACGCCTCGCGGGGCACTTAACAAAATAAATAACTCTTTCTATAATTGCAAAAACAAGAAGAGGAGGATAAAGACAAAAAGAGGAGAGATGCCTACTGTTTTCGAATACAATTACACGTATCAAACGGTGGCCGAGAGAAATAGCCTGCAATTTACCCGCGATTCCAAGAAAACCGATCAATTCCCTTAAACTAGCCTCATTACTGAAATAACTCAATAACTCGCCAGGTCTATAATCAGTTCACGATACAATTACTCGTCGTGAACGAGTCTCGATTAATTGCTCGTAGGAGAGCCTATACAAAATTTCCCATAATTTACCAACAAAAATAAGAGACACAATGAGAATGATAATCGACGTGGTTCGATTACTATCTCGACCAATTAGGAAAACAGGAGACAGTGTTTTTCAGCCCAGTTACTTTCTCAAAGAAACATCTTAAAAATTACTTCAACCTTTCCTATTCTAAATTAAAACAACGACACGTCGCAAACTATCTGTAGCTTCATAAAGTCTTATCATCTGCTATGAAAGCGGACTGTTTATAAAATCAACCAATTTTTACCGAACCCGTTGGAACGTAATTGACGGTAAATTCGCGGAAAACGGGGCTCGTCAGGCGCGGAGAAAGTGACTCTAAAAGAGCGAGGCATAGAGGAGAAGCTGATCTCTCACGGCTGTCAGACGTGACACGTTTATCTTAAACAGTGTTACGTTCAACACTCGCGGAACTCATTAGTTAGGGCTGCGCGCGTTGCAGTCTGCACTTTTGCCTACGAATCCCATTAGCCAAATTGGAAAGAGGAGTAGATACATGTGTAGTTCGTTTCGTAGAATTACCGGTTTCACTTAGCTGTACGTGTCTTTCGAGACCCTTGATCCCGGACGTGTTCAACGATATTTATTCAATTACTACGTTCTTTGTTAAAAAGTTTCACCAACTTCCTGACACGCAAATTTTCCTATCACGTCCGAGATAGGATTTAAGTGTCTCGTTTCACACACGTTCTTATATTTAAAGTAGTAGAAAGGCAATAGACAAAGAATTGTATTAAATGCCTTTAGTACAATGGGAGATAATTCGCGAAGAAAGCACGTCATAAATCCTTGCAGATTGTATTCGCGCTTCTTGAGACCGACTAGTCATTCGGCGTCGATAAATAAAGCAGAAATCATACTTGAGGGAGAAGCATTGAAGATCGACACGGTTTTACGCGAATTTCCGCGAAGCAGTCGGGAAAAGGTCGGAGAGAGAGAGAGGGATAGAGTTAAGTGGCGCTCCCTTCGAGACATAAACAAGCGTTAGGGACATGAATGGGATCACGTAAAAAACAGATTTCCACCCTCGATATCCTCGTGGCTACACGAAACGTGATTTCAGGCCGTCAGGCTCGGGGAAGAGTGGAAAAAGGGCGTTGCAGGTCGGGGCTAGCCCTGTGTAAGCGATCCCTGGGGCTCGTCAGGAACGATCTTATGATTGACCGTGTTACGACACTCCCTGTAGACCGTTTTCCGAACGTATCCTTCGAAACCGAAGCTGCTCGTGCCATAAGCAACTCGGCATCAGTTTCAGACACTCCTGACTTCAGTCGAACTTCCATCGTCACTTAATATTATGAGAACTGATACATAACGTTCTTACTTTAGTACCGTAAACTTGTTTTTATCAAACTTATACACAATTTTAATTGCTAAATATTATTTATGAATTTAATTAGTATTCCTGACCTCGTCGTAAAAATGTGTTTACGTCGCAGAATGTGTACCTAGTCATACTTTATGAGGAACACGAATAATTACACGCTACGACGTTGTAATGGATTATTTCGCCATTACCCAGAAATGTGTGAAGCTACTTAAAATTTAAAAACGGTTCTTCGTTATTCTCGCTCAGCGTCAGTTATGAACGTGAATGCTCGTGGAAAACTCTAGCAAACGGCATGATCTACAAATTATTTGACATAAACGCTGCTGAACATGAAGATATCAGCGTTTGGAAAAATGTGTAATACTCTCAAAAACAGGTTTAGCCAATTCAGAAATAGCACTGAACTTCCTATCCAGTTTCCATCCGATTAATGTAAATAGTAAACAGCATTAGCAGAAACGCGGGTTAATTTGTGCAGCAAACCAGGCGATAATGTAGTATACTGAGCGCCTTAAAATCGCAGCTTAAGCGAATTAAGTATGCAAACTACCGCGAGACAGAAACGGGTGTTCGAAATTTGATCCGATCCCATAAAAAAGTCGGCCGCGGGTATCCGGCTAATAGGATTAACCACACGATTTTTCATACAGAACTAGCAACTTTCTAAAGTAGATAAACGTCAATGATCGTCGACGAAATAATTACATCAACTAGAAGACTAATGTTCAGAGTTTTTAAGCAGATTGAAACTGATGTACGTGTGGCAGCTGTGTCGAATCGGAACGAACGGTGCAGACCGTTCCGAGTGAACGTTCTGATTCAATCTCGTTGGCGAGCTCGTTGAACCGATCGTAAGTGGTTCAACAAAAGTGAAACGTGTAAATCGCGATGGACGAGGACGGCCGGAAGGTAGCAGCCACTCACCTTTCTTCTCGTCATCATCGTCGGCGTGATCGCCGCCGTGGTGAAGATGATGGGCGGTTGGATGGTGGCTAGTTATCGCCGGCACCAGGGGGTGGTTCCCCAGCGCCGGGTGCGGGTGATGAGGATGATGATGACTTAGGAAACGGACGGCAGCCGCGGCGGCTTGATGCTGCGCCTGCATCGTCTGCTGGACCTGGGTCTGGACCTGACCGAGGACCGGATGATGCGGTGGCCATCCTGCCAGATGGAACGGAAACACGGGTGTCGCCCTCTGGAACAGCCTCGCCGGGGTCAAGAGGGAACCGCCGGAACCGCCGGAACCGCTGCCAGGAGGCAGTGGGAAAGACAGACCACCTCCTGGCTCGAGGACCATGTTTGGGACCAACTTGACGACCGGGTGTCTCTCCGCCGGAGAGATTTCACTGAAATTGCATTTATATCCTGATCTGGCTTCCGGCTTCGTTCGGACTCATGGGAACCGGCGATTGTCAGTGTCTCCGGGCTGCAGTACGACGCACGTGTTACGAAGTTCGTGAACGCTTCTCGTTTAGGAGAACTGTACGTTTACATTTTATAAACTCCGAATAGTCAGGTTTAAACGTTCATTGCTGTTAATTCGATGGAGTTAAACGTGTTCATTGACGTATCTAATTTGCAGAAATGGTTTTGTTTACGGTTGGTAGCCAGGTGAGTCGACAGCCGTCGGAAAGATTCGACGCTCTCTCGTTACAGTTTAGCTAAACTCTTGGAAGAATTCTCTTGGAAAACCAATGTAGATTTCTTTCTACCGTCGATGTCAATTTTATATTTGACTGTTTACTGAATTTTAAGGATCTCAACTAGTTCTCTGGATACGTCAAAGAATCATCATTTCGTTGAAACACGTGACAGTCTTCAGACTCCCTCGGTCCTTCCACGAATAGAATCTTCTAAAACTATCACTTCAAGCACAAGTCTTCCTGAATTCGGTCCAGGTGTTCGATCTAGCGTCCACTCCTCATCCCCAATCAGCGAATGCACCAAAAAGTCACCGAGGAAACTGAACCATGACGGAACACAGGTACCGGGTATCACTGATGTCGCATGATCACTGGCTGGAAACTGTTAGCCGGCGACTTCTCGGCACCTGGGTTACGCAATCTCGGTCACGAAAACACTGATCAGCTGTGTCGGGCGATTAGAGTCGGTTTCGGTGGCCCGTGGGTCCGCGGGGCAGATTTCGGCGGGCGCAAAGGGTATGGGGATTCCAGGGATTCCTTGCTGGCAAGGACCTGTTAGTGTTTAGGACCACTACGGCACGAGCCAACGGCACAGCACTATCTGCCCGGAGACCGAAGTAAACGGCTCCCCTCTGTCCGTGAACGCAAAACTGGTTTGGGTCGCCACCCAGAGGTATCCTATTGGTCGGAGACAAGGTGGATACGTGGGTGCCGCTCCGTTCCCGGCCAATCCGTGCGGACGGATCAAAACGGGGATCCCGCCCCGCGGACGGTTTTTTTTGCCCCGGAATTGAATCGACGCCCCTTCCTTCCAGTAATGGGAACCGACAGTGGGGATGAATCAATTGGCGGCTGCCCTGAAACCAGCCGCAAGATGGCTCCTCTCTTCCCCGCGCGCGACACCCCGGCAAAACCACCCCTGCACCTTTTGCCAGCGACCTTAGCCTCCAATTCCCGGCTCTCGAGACGCGCTCTCCACTGACTCAACGTCTCCCGTCTCTTTTTCTATGCTCCAGTTATTCCAGAAAATACCTTCGACCGTATAACTGGAGACTTTTATATAAATTGTCACAGATTGTATTCTAATAAAATACAGAGTGAATCAATGAAACGGTCTTGTTCTCGGCTGCAATTCCCTTATCAGAATTCTTGGCTCGATATCGGGGAAATTGAAAATTCGTTTCACTATCGGAGCCCATCGTCGTAATAGAAAATCAGCGATTATTGTAAAAGCTGATCTGAATGATTTTACGAGGGAAATCGTGAAGAGGAGGTTGTGGTTCAGCTGTTCGTCTTGGACGGAATGAGCCCGAGAACGTTTCCCTTTCTTCGCGATCGTTCTCCGAGGACTGTTGTGGTACCACCACTCCAGCAGCTCGTCCACCCCCACCAGAGGCGTATCTTCCACCCCTCCGGCCCTCGAGGGCACGATCCTCTTTTAATAAGAGCTCGGAGCTCGGAGGCGTTAAGTAATTACATCTATTCTCTTCTGGGGAGGAAATTACCTGCGCCTCGGGGTGGGAAAAATTAGGAAATTAAAATTAACCCCCGCCACGGCCTCTGTGTCTCTTCTCCTTCTCATCCTCCTTCCTCTTCGCTACTTGTTCGCCATTTCTGTTCCCTCTCAGTCGGTTTCGTCTCTCCTCTCACTCGGTTCCGAGCGTCTTACGCTTCCTCTCGGCTGCAGTCCGGCTGGCTGGAACTCTTCGTTCTCGAATTTAGGAGGAGCCGGCGGCCATTACCGCTTACGTAATCTTTTTACAGTGGCGGCAGCACCTTGTTAAGCAAAGTTATTTAGCGAGCCGACGCGCGGTGTTCCACTCCCGCCCCTATCCTTCAATTTATTTCGACGTACAGGGAAAAAGATCGCCGTGATCAATATCAGTCATAGGATTTTTATCACACCAAACGATAATTAACGTCGAATTAATCGAAGAACTTCGAATTCCACGGCTGACGTGCAAAATGAGATTTTTACATCTATCGTCCTTTCCTCAAGTTGAAAATTTATATCCCTCGGTATTAAGTTTGCAAACGATCCGTCGAGAATCGTACGAGATTTTCGTCCCGAAGTTTCCTTAGGAAAGTTCTAAAACCGTGCGCGAGCGTAGATACGTGTAAAGGCGACGCGACGGTTGAAACCCGGCGAGTTCCTAATTTACGCAGCCACCGTCGGAGCCCTTTTCCGGCCGAGGCTCCGTCGGAACTTCGCCGACGATTAAAACGCTTTAGTAATTAACCGGGTCTCCTCACCTTCGGTGGTAACAGTTACCGAACCCACCGAGCAACCTCCTTCCCGTCTCACCCACGCGCCCGGCATCCCCTTTGCCTCTTCTTACGGGGCATCTCTTCCAGCCACCCGCCCTACCCTCGGCGCTCCGCCGCCCCGCGCTTTCTCGCGCCACTTCTGGCCCGCTAGCGCATATTTAGGGTCGCCGGTTAGAGGTTGCCCGGGCAACCACCGTCGAGAAACCCTCTGTTCGTTGCCAGGGCAACCTTCGTCTTCCCGTTACAGCGTCGCATCCGCCTCGCGGACGGATTCAATTCGTGCGAGCGAGAACGAATCGACTTCTCAACCGGAAACGGTCTACGTGTTGCCAGAAAAAAGGATGACGCTCGCCGATTGTATTTGATAACCCGGCTCGTGAACCAGGCATTGAAATTCTGATTAGAAGACAGTAGTTGGCTATCTTCTGGTTTTCACAATGGAAACGCGATATTCTACAAAGTCTCGGAATAATTAATAGGACCTTTCTTGTATTTGGCAGATAGAGCAACAACTTTTGCCTGAAATATTTTCCGCCTGGACGATGAAAAAGTTTGTGCAATAAACAATTTTATTTGTTCATTAATTACTGATGCCAGGGAAAAGATTTTTATACAGAAATTGTAAGCATTGACGTCCTCTACAAGAAAGATTTTAGTCGAAACAGCAAACTTTTGACAAAAGATTTCGTTTTTCATCAATTACTCCTAAACTATTGGATCTACAGGAAAATTGCATACGACCTTATTTGTATCTGATAACTAAAGCTACAACTCCTGTCTGAAACATTTTTCATTAACGTCAATAGTTAACGAGTAATTAACAAAAAACGAAAAAGACAGTTTTTTGTCAAATATTCGTTAACTATTGACGATAGAAAAAAAATATGTTATACGAATTTTATTGATCTTCACAATACCTAGAACTTCTGTTTCAAACATTTTTCTTTAGCAGCAACACATAAGCAGTTATTGCCAAAAACGAAAATTTCGCAAAATCTCTGAACAGTTGAAATTTTTTTTCTCAAAATTTCGAAAAATGCTTCAAATAAAAGTTGTACAGACTGCTATTTTCTACAATGAAGATCGAATACTTGAGGAGTAATCAATGAATTATTTCGTCTATCGTCAACTATTCTTTAACGAGTGAGGGGGACATTGCATAGGACCTTTTTTTATAGAACCAGACTTGCATAGAAAATGCACATCAAAGTTTGAGAAAAAATTCAACTAGCACAATGTGAATAACTCCAGAAATTCCTAAAGGTTATTTCATCTCGTCTGAATAATACAATCGGGATCGGCACTCTAGACGGAAGGAGCGATCGTAAGCCCGATTCGCTTTCGTAATAAAGAAAAACGAGTCGCGGTAGGCGGTGAGAATTTCCCTGATCGTCGCGCGAAAATTCCGTGAACAGTGGCTGGTTTATGAAAAATTGATCGGCCGCCGTATCTCACGTTTAGGCGGATCCGTTGAAGGAAAGCAGGACACGCGCCGCTCGTCCATCAAAGCAGCACGGCTCGCCGCCGCTGTTGGCCCGTGCTTTAATATAAAACTTAAATAACGATACATAGAGCGGCCGCCATGACGAAAATGGGAAATAATCCCGCGAATAAGCCCTTCCCCGGGGCGTGATTCGCACGCTCTGCACTCGCGCCGGGAGAAATCCTGGCAAATTTCTGAATCACCCGACATCTTACAAATTACCTGAACACGATTAATTCCACTTGAGAACTTCCCAAGAAATAAACGACAGGAATTAAAGATGACGGAATTCAAGCGAAGCAAGGATTCAGTCATCAAACCAGAAATTACTCGTTTTTAAATAATGAGATCTATACGCACGATGAACGCATGTTTGAATTTCATTAAACGCTGGGAATCGACAAAAAAAATGAGAAATCATCCCGATGAATTATTTTCTTTCATATAGATTGTACGTGTCACAAGTTGCTTCCATAAAACTTTTTGCACCGGGCTTTGAGAAATGTCTGTACACGCACTGAAGTTTTTTGCGCGACACCGTCCGGTATCATGCACCGTGAGCAACTGAATAATGATATAATGATGACACGTCTCATACATATATGCAAGCTCCGCATTAGATTTTCCTCACGTTCAAGACGAATTAACTTGTATACGCAGCTAATTACTTCGTAATTGATAAATTAGGACTTGAACGCCATTCTTTGTAAACAAAAATTCATTCTCCTTCGATTTGCATTTTCTCCATTTATAAAATTAAACAAATAGCATTCGCCTATCTCTTATATTATTCCATTTATTCGAACGTAATTTTAACCGCGCCTCGGATATAATAAGAATAAATAAGCGCATGAATAAAAAAGTTCAACCGTAATTACAGAATTCTTAAACGCAGTTTCAACTGTTGTTTGAAAACTGTGGCATCGTTCGGCTCGATAAAAATTCCGGTACTGTCAGATTATTATTTCGCCAGATAAAACTGTGGAAGAAGAATTTAGCAGGGCGCCGCAGCGATTCGCCGCGTGCCAAGAGCGCGAGCGCCAGGACGACTAATTAAGTACGCCGTAAGTTAATTGAGCCGCGTAGGAGGAGAACCGAAGATACGAGGGAAACGTTAAACTGTGTAAACATCGGACTAATTACTCCGAGACTTTATCGTGCAGCGCAGCCAGCTCCGTTTAGTGCCGACGATATTCGCAGAGAAATCTGCGTCAATGTAGCAAAATATTTAACAAAACTTTCGGCCGAATAAAATAAAATCAGGAGAATTTTCAAGCTTATCTTTTGCATCAATGATATTCTTATAGCAATCGTTGTAAAATTGTATTTGGTAAAATACTGGACGTATGAATCGTAAGATAATTTTCAATTTCCTTTTAGAAATGCATTAGAATATCGTCACACGCTGCAATATTTAAATGTTAAAAGAAATTCCTGTACAAAACGGTTTATCTACGAAAATGCGGTCTGTTAGGTTTCCCCGAGGAAATAGTAAGGAGACCACGGTAGTTGAAAACGTCAGCGGAAATTGAACGAGGACAACGGAGCGCCACGATGACGTGTCGCGATTTAAAGAAGCCCGCCGCATCTAATCTGTGCTTGCATTTTTCCCCGACCCGCTGTTTCCTCGCAATAGAGACGAGATAAATACGTCAAACGTCAACCGGGCGGCCTCCGAGGTCGAGACAATCTCGCATTGAGAAATTTCAATTCATGAGAATCCATTGATCCGACCGAGGCTATTATAACGCGTTGTCACTATTACGCAACGCATCTTATAAAGAGAATCGGCACGTATATTGGGACTATCGATTTCTGTCAATTGTCTGTAAATTTCCTTCCACGAGTTTCGTCGTGAATATCTAAAAATACTTGGCTCCGTGTTTCCGAGAGTCTGAAAACATCCTTGTAACAAAAATACTCGATCCCCCGTACTCTGCAAGTGGAGAATCCCGAGATTCGCGGTCGCTTTGCAAGTCTAATTGCCGGTGCAATCGAGACCGGCGAGGGTGAGGGAGGGTTCGAGAGAAGAGAGGAGGAGAGGCTTTAGCCGAGAGGGAACAGCCATAACGGTCGGGCAAAAATGGGGTTGCCGGTGAAAGGGAGATGCAAAGATGGCTGCTGCTGCTGCGAAACGACGTGTCTACGTTTCTTCTTCGCCACCTTTTTTCCACCCTTCGCCTCTCCTTTCCCCGTTTCCCAATTCGATCGGGGATTCGAATCACGCGTCGGCGGTTAGTTCTGATTAGCGACAGGGCGAATGACGTACCACTGGCAGGAACCCGTGGCTCGAATACGGAAACAGTTCGTGTACGATGCAGGCGAGCGAGCAACGTGACCAACCTACCGCCCGCTGCTTTATGGGAATTTATTTAGGGGACTCGCGAACAGTTTTTACAATGTTTCCCGTCTCTCGCGACGTTTCCATTCGGATCCGAACGCGTTTCAGTTGCGAATTTAATATATTCCTAATATTGATAATTGCGGAAAAGGGAAATTACATCGCGAGGTGGACGTTAATTAAACGAATTTCCCCGTTGTAACCGGCGAGCACTGTAATTAAATTAATTAGCCGTTCACACGCGCGTTTATCATCGGAAACATTAAAACGCACCGCGAGCTTCTGATCTCTTCCTGTCAGTATGTTCCAATTAAATTGCCCCGGTCGCGTCGATATACCAAATGATCAAGCTTAACACGCGAGCTACGATAACTAACAATCGAACCGCATGCGCCAACGTAAAAGCATCGCGGAACAAATTATTTTATTTTTCATTGAATAATACGCGGCTGCATCCCCAAAAAGCATCCGATTTATCGCCCCCCTATATTCCAATTTGCTCGCGCGAAACACGGATGTCAATTTTCGAAAATTTCAGGGGAGAATGCACCAGGAAATTTTATGTCTGCCGCGTTATGAGTTCGGAAAAATATAAATTTTATCAAAAAGCGTAGCGTCAAATTAATTCGGACATTTCAGGAATTTACAATCACTATCTACGCAATTTTCTCGAGGAATGAATCACCATTTGAA